GTCACAGCGGTGCAGCCGAGATATGCCGCCGGTAGGATGGCGCTCGCCGCCGTGATGCCCATTCCCCCCTCTCTCACTGGCAGCGCCATCTGTCGTCGCTGCGGCTCGGTGGTGTCCTCCTCTCCCAGCCCGTGGATGGCGATGGTTGCATTCATGACCTCCTCATCTCTCAGTAGCGCCGTGACCTCGGTGGTTGAAGGGCGCTGGGGAAGGAGACGAAGCCAGTAATACAGCCGTGGGACTGCGCAAGAGCGGAAGAGGAGCGATGAGTCCTGCTGCTGCTCGTGTGCGAACGCCCTGAGTCGTTCGATGAGGGGGCGGTGGGAGTCGAGGACGCTCTGCAGCTTGTTAGCGACGTAGCTGTCCGTCCCTGTTGCCCCGCGTAAGATGTCAATGCCCTCACCCGAGAGCCCCTCCCTCTCAAAGCCAGGCAGCAGGTCGTCCGGTGGTGGCTCGCTGTCCGTCCAGTGGGGGCCGTACGCCTTGCTCTTCCTGGCCAGCTTGAGGCTGATAGTCTGCAGCTCTTCCTCCGCCTTGTCCACCACCCCGTCTGCCTCACTCTCGTCGGCCCGCGGTGTGATGTCGTCCATGAAGGCTTGTATGAGGGCGCGTGGAAAGCTGGCTCGGATGGCCTTGAGTACTGGCTGGAGGGCCAGACAGAAGAGGAAGGGGCCGGCCGGGTCTCCTTGCTGAGTGCCTTGCTGGCTTAAAATGGTCCTCACTCTGCCGTCTGCGAGTCGATACCACAGCTCCGCCGGCTCTCCATAGAACTCCCAGAGGAAGTGAAAGAGCTCAGGGAACTGGCTGGCGAGCTCGTTGACGATCGCCTGACGGTCCACCTCGTTGAAGGCGTTCGTGCAATCCAGCCCCATAAGCAGTCGCTTCTCGCCCTCCCTCCGGCTCTGAATGAAGGTCTCGGCGGCCTTGAAGAGCTTCTCGTTGCCTGCTGGGGTGCCGACTGCGCACTGGAGAGGGGCGAAGTAGGCGGCCATCTTGTTTTTGTGCTGCATGCACACTGCTCTCGTCACCCATCGCCGCACTGCATCCCCCACCGCCACCGGCCGCACCTTGCCGTGCCCTTTCGTTAGTGCCATCAGGTTCGCGGTGCCGAGCAGCTTGGTGACAAGCTGTGGGAGCTTCGCGCTCAGCAGCCGTCTGATGATCTTGGGGAAGGGGATGCGCTCCTCTCCCTGCCGGAGCCCATGCTTCGACAAGTTGAGGTAGCCCAGCAGATGCTCGAACCGCCAGCCGGACGGCCCTGGTGCTGCGCCTTTTGCTGCTGAGCGGAGTGCCTTCGCGAGCATCTTGGGTGGGACGTCAAGTGCCTCGGGCTCCACGTTGACGTCCGGCTTGGTGACGGGCGTGTTGCGTGAGGGGTGGAGGGCTTGCAGCTTGGCGTATGTCTCCTCCGTGGCTGGGGCGACTGGGGTGGAGTCCAGCTTCTTGGCCGCTCGTGTGA